ACCTACATTAAAACCCCCCCCGACAGGCCAGGGCCCTGTAAGGAATGCCAGGAAAAGACAACGGGCCCCTGTATAGCACACTCTTCAACAGGAATATATTTGTACTGTTCAAAATTAACTGTCTGAAAACAATATATACACTGCAATATAATAATAAATATATGTATTGGAGCCCTCTCAGTCATGATAATAAATCAGTGGTTCATGTGACACGTTCTTCATTTTTCTTAAGCTCACATCCAACCCTCTTCTAACTCACTATAGTTCAGTGTTTGTCCCACATGTGTCTCTGTTGCAGCTTTTGTCCCAACGTTACCTCCTGCCGCTGCTGACCGCTCCTCCGTCCACGACACGGGATCTCGTCCAGATTCCAGTCATGCCAAAGCCGTTGGCACCTCTCCACTCCTCAGTCACTGGTTGGACTGATCCTGGTCTTAACAGCCCAGAGCACAGAAGCTAGTTTCCATCTGAAACACACACACACACACACAAGTTTTACTTCTGTGCGAGTGTGTGCTTCAATCTGCTGTCCTGGCACTGATTAACTGTCTCATCTGCTGCTGCTGTGGTTGGCCAGACACAAAACAGCACCCCCTAACACACACACACACACACAAGTTTTATTTCTGTGACAGTTTGTGTTTCAATCCTCTGTCCTCACAGTGATTAACTGTCTCATCTGCTGCTGCTGTGGTTGGCCAGACACAAAACAGCACCCCCTAACACACACACACACACACAAGTTTTACTTCTGTGCCAGTTTGTGCTTCAATCTGCTGTCCTGGCACTGATTAACTGTCTCATCGGCTGCTGCTGTTGTTGGCCAGACATAAAACAGCACCCCATCACACACACACACACACACACAAGTTTTACTTCTGCGCCAGTTTGTGCTTCAATCTGCTGTCCTGGCACTGATTAACTGTCTCATCTGCTGCTGCTGTTGTTGGCCAGACACAAAACAGCACCCCCTAACACACACACACACACACAAGTTTTACTTCTGCGCCAGTTTGTGCTTCAATCTGCTGTCCTGGCACTGATTAACTGTCTCATCTGCTGCTGCTGTGGTTGGCCAGACACAAAACAGCAACGCATCACACACACACACACACACAAGTTTTACTTCTGCGCCAGTTTGTGCTTCAATCTGCTGTCCTGGCACTGATTAACTGTCTCATCTGCTGCTGCTGTTGTTGGCCAGACACAAAACAGCACCCCCTAACACACACACACACACACAAGTTTTATTTCTGTGACAGTTTGTGTTTCAATCCTCTGTCCTCACAGTGATTAACTGTCTCATCTGCTGCTGCTGTGGTTGGCCAGACACAAAACACCACCGCACCACACACACACACACACACAAGTTTTACTTCTGCGCCAGTTTGTGCTTCAATCTGCTGTCCTGGCACTGATTAACTGTCTCATCTGCTGCTGCTGTTGTTGGCCAGACACAAAACACCACCGCACCACACACACACACACACACACAAGTTTTACTTCTGTGCCAGTTTGTGCTTCAATCTGCTGTCCTGGCACTGATTAACTGTCTCATCTGCTGCTGCTGTTGTTGGCCAGACACAAAACAGCACCGCATCACACACACACACACACACACACACACACACACACACAAGAGTGTAGAGGTGATGTAGAGTACTGAAGGAAGGAGGTTGCAGCGAGAACAGAGGTCGAAGCAAAAAATCTGAAGGTCATTTATGGAGTGGCCTGTCGAAGGGGACGCTTTTCTCATTTTCTTAAACAACTTCTATTCCTTCACCTTGTGACACACCGTCAGCTCTCATCAGGTTTGACAGGAAACTGGGATTTCAAGGCGCTAGACACACACATCCAAGGTCCAGGCCTGGAGTCAGGTCTGGCACCTGGACATGTGTAAGTCCTGGGTGAATCATTTCTTGAAACACGTCACTATCACGGAGTAAAACTGAAATATGTGAGCTACTGCAAGAATAATTATTATATTGAAATGTTGAGTAATGTTCTATATCATTTATTCATAATGAATAAATGATGTGCTAACTTTAGCTTCTCCGTGGATAACATTTTAAGTAGTTTTGCAATATTTCTGGTTAGCTTTAATTCTGCTTGTTTTTTCTTGCGATGTTTAGTGACATCTTGACAGAACGTTTTGTATTTATTTATTATTTTCATTTTTGTTATGGGTTTCCAATAACATTTTGGTGTTTAAATTATTACTACATTTTAGCCAGTCAGAATCTATTTGTGCTAAATTTCTTTTTATCCTTTTGGTGTGGCAAACTCTCGCTGAAACTGGGTGGGCAGAATATAACACCATTACAAATTCAACAAAAGCATTTGTTATGTGCTAAATAAAGCAGCTGAGTGCAGGGCGTTTGTGTGCCACTTAATTATGGTCTCAAGTATCAGAGAAGAAGCGGATCTGCCCTCAGGTATTTTTTTACAAATCTGGCACCAAAAACACAGGCCGCCCTGCTTCAAACAAACTGATACCTGACAGAGAAGGGGAAAAATACATTTAAAAAATGTTTTTTTTTGTATTTCAAGAAGGACACTGTCAGAACAGTTCTACCCACAATTCATTGCACCTGCTCAGCCGGCATCCCCAGGAGGACGTGATAGATTGGAGTGCACTCCAGCAGCTGGGTTTGAGGTTTAAGCAGAAAGTAGCAAATTTAATTGTTGTTCCTCCCCACGCCCAGAAAGACTTATGATTAATTATTCAACAAGTTCTCCAGCGTCCCTGAGGTGAAACAAACATCTGTCATTTATTTAAAGCAGACCAACTCTCAGGGAATCAAGTCACAAACACATTAGGGTTTCATGTTCCCGCTGGAAAATCTTGACACACCTGCTGTTTACAAAACACAGGCAGAAGAAGACTGGAAAATCTTGGTGTCCTCTCGCAGGAACTTGACAAATGCAGTTTTCAAAGTTGTCTCCTTGTTTCCTCGCCTGTGCGTGGACAGCAGGTATCGGTTGACTTATGAGGACACGAACACAGCGTGCTCACACACACAAGCTTAATCTTGTCGATTTGGTTGTTTTCTACACTCACACATCTGCAGTTTTCCAATCTTGATGCATTTTTCATTTCTCCTACATCAGCAGTTTCCAACTCATTTGTAAATGAAGACGTGCAGAGCGCACCAGTGGTCTGTACATTTTCAGCGTGCATTACTTGACCGTTATGTTTCACTCTTTGTAAATGACGACAATAAATGGAAACGGTCTCTTGTTGTTCCTGTGCAGCTCTGTGCATCTATATAAACGTCAAACAAAAACAGCTGAGTCAGCTCAAATAGATGCATTCACGCTGCATTTCACACTGGCCTTCAGAACTGTTTTCACGTAAGAAATGTTTTCTTTCACACGACAACCCTTTGTTAGGTTACTGGAGATAAATATTTGATGAAAACAAATGCCGAAGGACAGATTCTTACTCTTTGTGACTGAGACCCAGTCTTGGAATTTCACCTGTTTGTCATTTTCCAATGTTCAGTGTTTGATTACATGATGCTCTGATTTTTTTTTCTCCATCTTTGTAGTTGACTTTGTATTCTGAGGCGTGTTACAGAAGTCCATTGAAACAACTTGATTTGACATGAGAATAATAAAAGGTTGTCCCACAAAAAGCATAATTTGTGAGTTTTACTCCAGGTATTCAGTCTAAATAAATGTCCCATGTTTCTCCTGATCTCTGACAGAGTAAATACATGAGAAGTATTTGACCAAATACTTGACTTTACTCCCCTTTCTGTTTAAACAGTTTGAAGCTTGCAAAATGTTTTTTTCTATAATTTTTTACGTGGTTTTTATTTACTGGTTTCTATTCAGAGCAGAAATGTTTAAAAGTAACATCTGAACTCATATGTAAACACAGCCGGTCAGTGAATGATTAGCATAGCTGTTAAAACCTATTTGAATGAGACTTCTGTAGAAATTTAAATAGAATAAAAGACTCAGATAAGAAATATAAATATATTTTTTACATCTACATTTATTTAAAAAATCGAAACGAAAACAACACAAAAGCAACCGGCGTCCCACTGGCGATGAGACGGCCGACAGAGAGAGAAGATTTAAAAGCATACAAACCAGCAAATTGTATTCTAGCAGCATCCAAATGTTGGAATCTTCAAAAATCATCAGTTATATATTTAAATATATATATTCTTTTGCCCTGGCAAGCTACACACTTTACAACATACAGAGCTTTTTATCTCTCCTTAGTGCAGAAAAGAACCTCCGGAACAAATAACTTTAATAAAATAAACAACTTTAGGTTAAATAAGCTTAAATAATGGTGTTAAATACAAGACACTTCTGTGGCAGATATGTACAGAAATAAACACATTTGGCATCGACGTGGGGTTCACTGGCGTCTGCTCTAATGCTATACAAACCACTGCATAAGAACACAATTCGCTGTGAAACGACCCCCCCCCCAACAGACACACATCCACACACATCTGCGCAGACAGACGGGCACACACACACACACACACCTTCCACACACACACGTCTACATCAGTGAGCCACAGACAAGGCTTGTGTTTATAAAAACAACCAAAAGCAAAGTTCAACAATCCATATACAACTGAGAGTTTTAGGCACAGTCTCTTCCTGTTTTATAAATACATGTCAAATACAACTTCCTCTCCGCAGGAACTCGTCACCTTTGTGCTAACTTATTTTTTTCTTTTTAACACAGTTTTGTAACTACCACTTTGTTATTGCTAGGACATTGTGACAGTGAATGAGAAACTACTGACAAAGAACGAGTTTGTAGGGACAACGAAAGCACCTTGAAACATCAAAACCACTGCCATGTGACCCTACAATACGACACAGGGAAAAGAAAGACGTGGAATTAATTCAGAGAGGAAAACAAAATGGCCCCCACAGAACATCAAAAACCTTGAAACTTGAGTGACTGTTGAGGGACTCCGGAGAAAAAAGGAAAAATAAGGGATCTTGAGTTGAGCTACATTCATGGTTCCCTCGATGGTACTCCACCAGACCTACACGTGTGGACTCCTCGTGGTGCGGGGAGACAGTAAGTATCACTTCATCATGTCCAGTACATTCCTCACCCCGGCCTCCCTCCACCTTGTGTCCCCCCCCTCCTTACTTCACTGTGTTTATGAAAGCTGGCCGCAGAAACAGCTGTTTGACGTTGTGTGCGGTTATGGTACAGTACAGCTGAGGATACAGTTCAGTAGACTGACGTGACATATGTAGGTAGATTATATGTTGACTACAGTAAATGAGCTTTACATTCCACTACTGTAAGAAGATCTCAGGGACCCGGGCGGGGCTGCTCAGCTCAGACGTGAGGATATTTCCATAAGAGTTTTTCTTTTTCTTTTTTCTTTTTTTAATGCCAGTGTGGAGAGACTGTTAATAAAGAAGTCAGCTCTAGGCTGTCAAACAGAGCAGCATCTCCAGGCTGACGTTCAGATCAAAGCGTCCAAACTCCACACACAGCTGCACGGCAGTCTCGCAATCTGAGGCGTTTAAAGAAAAGTCCATATTTCCCAGGGGGTCGGAGTTGGTTTGTGTCGAAGATGAAATCCTGCTGTCGACAGTTGATACTGTTGTTGTTTGTTCTCAAAGTTTGCTCTCAGTAGGAAAAGAAGAAAATGACGTCCATCACAGACCAAGTGACTGTACTAGTTCAAAATGCTCAAAATATCATTACCACTGACGGGCAACACGAGACACAACTGTGAGTGTTGAATGAGCAGGGTTCCAACAATCCAAAACTCTGCAACAGTGAGGAACTGTTTGTCATGGAAATTATATTTTGAGCCGAATAAAAGTTAGGATTCAAAGCTGGGGACACACTACACGACCTGGAGTACACACAATGACAGTGTAGTACACAATGACAGCAGGAGCTACGACTGAAACAGAACTAGAACTTATCTGACAAAGGGATCACAGATGACATTATTTGTAAGGCTAAACAGAGATAGTAGTTAGGGCGGTAAAAATCTTGTAGTGTGTCCTCAGCTTAAAACTCCTTAAAGCTCCGACATCAAGGGTCTGCAACCTTTAACATAAAAAAAACTAGAATTGATCAAGATCTGAACAGGCAGTTCAGCTTTTATAATGTTGACAGGGCATTGTACGGTGTTTAAAATACTTTAGTCAGGTTTAATAATTATACTGAATTACATAAATGAAACAGTTTGTTTTTGTTTTTCTCACAGGAAATAACGCAGCATGCCAATTCCCTCGATGTCACACATGTCAACATTGCTCCTTTTTCCTGCATTGCTGTGAACATTTCACAACTGGCTCAGGTAGAAGAGGGCAGTAACAGTATGTTGTTCTAGTAGCATCCAGCTGCAAAAAGTAAAATTTGTTCAAACTTGATTTCAGTTTCAGTCAATGTTTCTTTTTGATGGAAAAGCAGTAAATTTGGTAAAAAAAAATCCTAAATCCTACATGGAACCAAAGCCAAGGGGTTACGGAGCCACAGGTTGCAGACCATTGTTTTATACCTTTGGATGAGCTTGACATTTACAGATTTTCAAATGACTAGGACAGGCAGGTCTATGTTGGACACCACTGTTCACTCTCAGTGATCACAACACAACAGCACCCTGGTTGAGGACAGGCGGCTCGCTCCTCAGTTTGTTGCCTTCAGATCTTTTAGGAGCCATAGTTGCAGTGCGGTGGATGTCCAGTAGAAGCCGAGGCCGTCTTTCATCTCTGGCTGTTGTTCTGCAGCTCCTCTGTTTTTTTAAGGTTTCTTATCGATGCTGTGAAAGAACCACTCTGTGAACTTCCTGAGCTGAGCTGCTGCCGTCTGGCTCTCCTCCTGCAGCCGCATGTTGTCCTGCCTCAGGTGTTGCACCTCCTCCTGCAACATGGCCTTGTCCTCTTTCTCCTGAAGACGATAACAAGAACAAAACACACAAACCATCAACACCAGGACATTAAGTAAAAAAAGAAAGAAAAGATGCCGCTATTATAGAAAAACCATCTTTCGTCGGAACTGCCTGAAAACCAATGCATTACCATGACAGGACGGGCTTTTCTCTGTTCTGATAAAAGCACATTTCCTCTCTTATTTTAAACACGTTAGGGGAGGTGGGGAAACTGGGCCGGGACACAATGAGGAGAGGAAGCAGGATATTGAATTAAGTGGATGAGTTCATATTACACAGACCTCGGGGCACCTCTTACTCAGCGTCTTATTCTCTCAGCTGTGTGACACAGTGTGTGCTGACGTAGCTGTGGAGAACATTAGGACGGAGGACGGAGTACAGTGGATGGGAACCAAACACTGGCCCTTGAACGGAGGTTGAGTTCTTATCTACTTCTCCTCAGTGATCCCAGTCACGTGAACATTATCAGCACCAAAATATTCATGACTATACATTTTTGTTTGTGGACGTACCTTTCTGAGGTCCAGCTGCAGCTGCCTGAGGATCACCTCCAGCTGGTTGACTTTGCCAGTTAGTGAGGACGCAGAGCTGCTGTAAGGTAGAGAGTGAGTCACTGTTTAAAGTCAAAGTCTTTTTTTTTTATCTCAAAACAACAGGCTCTATCAGAAAATATGAGATTCTGATGGGAAATTTGCAAAGATCATGACGACACGGTATCAGTTATGATGAAAAACAAGTGGCTCTTCATATAAATCTAAAGATAGAAGAATATAAGTCAAATGAATCTCATTGTTTATACACTAACAATACACAAACAAACACAGATTTACTATGTGTTTGACAGGTTTGATTCAGTAATGACAGGAGCTACAACACCACCTCAGCTCCAGCAGAGAATCACTCTTGGTAGAATTTCATGCACACTGCCTCATCATGTGGATACATTTTTTTGACAAGCTGGCTGTGCCGAGGTGTGGTTGCTGAGCCCTGATTGGACACCGACAATTCGGAAGCGGGGCTTGAAGAGTCAATTATTCACTTGATCTTAAAGCATTTGTGCTTGTGTGTCTGTGTGTGTGTGTGTGTGTGTGTCTGTAAAGCCTACTCTGCTTCCAGTGCAGCTCCCTCCGCCTCCGCCACTCGTCTGGTCAGCTCTCTGGAGATCTGCAGAGCCTCGGCCCGCTGCATGTCCGTCATGGTGCAAAAAGAAGCCACGCGCTGATCTGGAGACAGAACAGCGTGTGAGAGAGTCAGAAGCTGCTCCTCACGTCAAAAGCAGGAAACTGCCTTAAAATCCATTTCCTAAAGACAACATGCAACTAGAATAGAACGACACACATGAATGCAAGCGTTCCTGACCGGATGGGCTGATTCATCTTTGTGCTGCATGAATGAATTGACTCTTTTAAAAGCAGTTTTCCCATGCAACGCTCAGACAATAAGAAAGTACGTGGTAAAGCTTGTCAGCTAGGTATAACCCTGGGCCATTCCCCTACTCCCTCGGGCCTCTGAATGTTCTCTGACAGCTGTTTGGCTTGTAATGGTTTGAATCCCAGGGAGCTGGAAGGCACTAGTCATGCTCTTTTTACCATATCAGGCCTTTAAGCTCACTCAAAGCCCCACGGAAAACCCTCAATTGGTGCTTAGAGACTGTTTAGTTTGGAGGCGTAATGCTCTTTTCTTTAGAATCTGTTGGTCTGAGACTAAAGATAGCAGGATCTTCATATTCATGGGGGAGATTAAGGAAACCCTCCCATTAATTTGGCCCCCAAATGAAAGCTAATCCACTTGAAGGCTAAAGAGGATGCACCCCAGAGTTGGTTGCTTAGGTGAGGCCGCACTGGGAGACAAGCTTTGATTTACACATGAATAAACATTTTCATTATATCCAGGGGCTGCATCAGAAAGATTAAAGACTTCAGATGGGCTGTGACTGAAGCTGGCAAACGGCTCGTCTTTTCTGTGACATATTAGTTCCTACGGTTCAGTAGACAAATACATTAAAAATGGGGAAAAAACAAGTTGAAATCCCTTCAGATCATGGCTATGGAAACAGCTTAAACAGTCACTCAGGTACTTTATTACATGTGAGTATTGAATTGTTTTAGCTGACATACTAGCTGTAGTCATTAGGGCAGTGATTAAGGTTTCTTTTTTTACATGCTGTAGGTTTTAATTGTTTTCCAAAGGCAACACACACACACACACACACACACACACACACACAGAGAGAGAGTTACAGTGGGTGTTAAAGGATCAACCAAGCTGCCTGTCTGCATCATGAATATGAAAAGTCTCACAGGACACAGAAGGCCAAGGTGGTGAATGCAAAAAAAGTGCTTCACATGTCTGCCAAGCTCTTTCTCTTCTGGCTGTAAACACAGATGGTTAAATATACATTGTACAAAGGCAGCCCGGAGCCACTTTCTGCTCAGCAACATGGCTCCAGTTTACACAGCTCCTCCTCAGGTCCAGCAAGGTTGACGTGACGAGTGCCTTATTGCTGCCAGTCAAGCTCTGCATCATCCTTTCTAATTCCACTCTTTTTAAATATCATGCTGCAGGCTCTGCAGCTGGGAACGTATCAGAGGCGAAATGGCAGAGTTCATTAATTATGATAAATAAATGGTAACGTGCGATGGTGCCTGCTCACTGCTCTTCAGGGTCAGGCTGAGTTCAAGTGGAAAGACACCAGTGGCATAGTTTTTGTGACTGATGGTGAAATACACAGGCATGAGAGTGGTCCAAAAATAAGGAACGAAAGCTTGACTAGAAAATTAATAAATAAATAATGTGATGATGCTGATCATGGAGTGGTAAGCTTTTAACGATGAAAAGATGTTGAGAGTTTTTTTAACACTTTCGCTCGTGTCAGCCTCACTTGAAGTAGTGAGCACTCTAAAACACTGTCATGTTAAAAAAACAGTCGCTATAAGTGTCATGACAGCAAGAACCTTAATGTCCAAAGCCAAAAATACCCTTGCAATAAGTGTTCAAATTTATTGTATAAAAAAAGACCCCAAAACAAAACAAAAAAGACCTAAAATTACCCTAACACCCGTAGCCCAAGAGCTTAACAGTACAAGACACTGCTTTCTGAGTTCTCCCTGAGTGGTAACATTCTTATATTTGTGTTCAGAGTATTGACTCAGTTTCTGTGCCAAAACAACGATGCCTCTTGTTTTAATGTTACAATGCATGATGGGAATAACAACAGGGCTCAAAGCAAGGGCGTAAAAAGCAGAAGGATTCCCAAAAGTCACCTCCCCGCAGCACTTAAGAGACACTGGAAGAAACAAACACGCAGCGCACACAAACCTACACATGCAAGCCAGAGAGCTCTATCCTACGCACACACAGACATGGAAGTGCTAAGCAACTAGGACAGTTTGGGGAGGAGTGGGAAGGTTGCACAAGGTGCCCGCAGCTTCAGCCAGAACAGTTACCTTCAAAGGCTCGGGCTGCATCAACCAGGTGGGACCAGTCCAGGCCTGAGGCAGTGTCTGGGAGGGGCATGAGGCCCGGGTCGCTGAACTTGGACCTGTCCGCCAACGAGCCGTCAGAAAACCAAAATTCATCTGCAGAGACAGGCAGGCACTCCGATCAGTGTCAGGGCCTGGCCTGGGTTTGAGGACTGATCGGTTTGGATCAAGTAAGAAAGTTTGGGGGATGGAGAAGTTTATAGAGGAAGGGCAAAGGTCTTGAACAAGTCATTCCTGTTATTTATATTCCTGGGAGATTCAAAATCTGGCCCTGGGGCCAATAGTGGTACTTTGAGTTGTTTCATGGCATTGTGACAATTATCCCTCAATTTTTTTTTTAAATGACTCCAATTCAATCTGTTACTTGTAAATATTTTTCTTTAATTTGGTTAACTATCTTGGTGGAGGTCTTTTAACCTTAGCTATGATTTGGCTTTTTAATTTTTAGCATGTATTTTATATTATTTTGGCCAAATATCATTTTGGTTTTATTATTTCTCTTTGTAATTAACAGCACGATAGAAAAGCTGAAAGGTGATGTAGTAGTTGGTGTAGAAGTGACTGCCTAGCATTTAATCACATTACAGATTGGACAACGGCATCTGCTATATAAATGTGTGGTAATGTATTCCAATTGAACGACAATTAATTTTAGCCCTTAGTGTTACAGTTGGTCTTTAGCTTTTTTTAATGACCAAATCTGGCCACACGTTTTATGGCCAATCAGCCGTTAACCTCTGTCCACCCAAAGTCTGGAAGCCCTGAGAACTGCCTTAAGGCTGTCAACAGTTTCACTGAGCAGTTTTCACCTCTTTTATGGAAACAGCATGACAGCTTTGTGCAACCCTTTGCACATAGACCACACAAGGCACTTGTCTGAGAGGCAATAAATGACTTGTCTAACTGAATTTTTTGATGTCTCCATCAGTGGCTCCTTTCCCATCACCCCTCTGCCCTAAAAGACACGGAATGCAATAACCAAGCTCCCAGCTCTTTAGACGAGGGGTTAAAAAAGTAGGAGTTGAGAAGCAGGAAACCGACAGACAGAGCTTAGGGTGACTCTCGTGCTCATATTCCAATTCATCGGGCGTCTCAAAGGTCAAGTAAAGTGCTGTTTACAAAACTGGGCTGTTCCAGTTTAGGCCAGTGTGTTCAAGTGAGTTTTACAACCATCAGAAATCCATCAGTGTGACTGACAGACGAGGCTCAAGAGAGAAACATCTTTCCAAAAGCCATTTTCCAACTGGTGTTGTGGGTGAGGAAAAAATATGGTAATGAGACATGAGGAAAAGAGAAGCGAGGCAGGTGGTGACGGATGATTGAGTGAAACGTTATGAATGACAGATAGTGTGAACCCTCCCTCTCCAAACTCCCACCCCTGAGCCCCCCTTCATGGATAAACAGGCATTTTCACATCAGAGATCTCAAAGACCTGCAACTGCACAGGCAGGACACATCACACTTGTCACTGCCAACCCACATTCAGCCAGGGGAGGGACACCAGTGGACAGGGCAACAGTAGCCAGCAGTGACAGGTGTCTGCTTAATGCAGACGGCACAGCGGGGTCCTTTCTAGGTGCACACTTCTTCACCAAGTTCAAATTAGTTGGCTTTATTGAAGAGCGTTCACCAGCTGTGCTCCTGCTCATCATATTTATGACACAAGTGGCTCTTCACACAAGTATCTATATCCTGGCTCTAGTGCCAGAGGAGAAGGCTGATAATCCAAGAACAACATGCAGGGAAGGAGACGCAGCAGCAGCTCCTCTTCAGAGATTTGTTTTTATTATTGTTTGCACTTACTTCTCAGGTTGGATGCTCCCTGGTTGTGGACCATGCGAGGAGGCAGCGTGCTGTGGTAAGGTGGAGTGGTGCTGAACAGGATATCATTAGGCATGGCATGTTCCAGCATGGAGCTATGTGAGCTGGTATATGAAGAGCCCTTCCTGTTACTGCACACACTCTCGTCTGACAGTGTCCGGTAAAGGGACCGTCTGGGTGACAAACTGCCCATCACTGATACCTAAAATAAAACAAAAAAACAAATAGAATCTGTGAAGAGATGGTCACAACAATGAAAAAGAACTGGATGACCTCCAAACCCCCATTGACCAGGCCCTATTAGCACCTTTCCTGCCTTTCTGCCACACAGCAGGTTCATACAAGTGGCCAGTTGGCAAGATCAGTGTCAGGAATTAATTACAGTCTATGCTCTCCGGAAAATGCAGATGGACTGAGTACAGCTGGGGAGTGGGGAACCAGGAGGACGGGGACTACAGAGATGGTGGCAGAGGTCACTGAGTGGAGAAAGGTGATATTGACTAGCTATATATACAAGTCCAAATCCATGTAAACATAACTCCTGCTCTTAATGAGACAGACTGGGGAATGCAGCCAACCTTTAGTGTAGCTGCCATCATACAAGATGGAGGGGAATCTTGTAAATGTGCTCAGGGACAGGCTGGAGACGTATATGAGGCAGTCAAACAATGGAAGCACTAAGACTGGTAGAGACACTTTCACACACTGGCTACAAAAACTTTTTATACAAGGACCCACTTTTTACGGAGATGACCCAGTTTGCAATATTAAGTAGAATTTTTTTTGTCCAAAAAAAAAAAGCCTTCACATAAATGGGCACAAATTTTACCTGCTTAGACGGCAAACTACAAAAATAAACTACAATAATGAGTGCTACAAAGAACTGAAGAATTAATTAAATTAAAGTTTATATAGGCAGGGAATTATCAAGGGCATAGATATTGGTGATTGTCAAAAAATTGAGGATTTTACAAAATAGGGCTAAATACCATTGAAAAACATGGAAGGTATGATATGGTTAATGTAATCGAGGTAATGAAACAGCTAAAGCATTTGTGTAACACACCTGGAGATCCTAATCCCATGCATGCAAATTAACACTTTACATCAATTGCCCACAGAAGCAGGATGTTAACAGACAGGAAAATGCCAGTAAACTTCTACAAAAATTACAAAAGCATAAACTGGTGCAAATGTTATACCTAATATACTTTTGTGTAACCATGTAATCATTTCTCAAAAAAAGCTAAGAACCTAGCCTAATGTAAATTAATTAAAATAATTAAAAAAAAAACACATAAAAAGTGGCAACACATTCAAAGTAAGCAGCTTTCAGACAGATGTCTCCCAAAAACAGTGGTCAGCCTGCAGAGATACTCAAGTTTCCTGAGTGTGGCTTCAGTTCTGACAGAGGATGTCTCGCTTAAACACACAGAACCACAAACAGCAGGCCCAGCTATCATTGTCCGTTTAGCTTAAATAAATATTGCTGGAGTTACATCAAAAGTAGCCACTAATGATATGCGGGGCAGTTGGCCAGATGGGAAAATATCTGCCTTTGGCTTCCCAGCAGTAACCAACGTAAGTGTGGTATCACCACAGGCCAACACCCAGCCATCTCCAGTTCACTGACGCGTAAACCCACAGTGAGAACATAACTCAACCGTAAGCATGAAAAAAGGATATATACATATAAATATATATATATATATATGTGTGTGTGTGTGTGTGTGTGCGTGTGTGTGTGTGTGTAAACTGCGCAGAAGAGCGTATATAAACTCCATACTCCACAACATAGTTTTCTCTCACTGCCCGTTTTCCCACTCAACTTTACAAGATTAGACCCCGTGGTTCTCATCAAAACAGCTTAGAGCTGGATAGCTCCCCTATGCAAAGCAAAAATAGCTGATTTAGAGCTCCCCTAAAAGCAGCCATGATAAATGAAAGCTTTTGAAATAGGGCTTAATGTTTTTCCAGGAGCATGAATTTATATCTAGTGTTTAAAAAAAGCTCTCTGAACACGTCTTGGCACAGGTTAACACAACCTGCAGTGCACATCAGACACAAAATATGAATCAAACCTAGATTATGAACTGAGTAGTTTTAATGCAACTCAGTTGGCAACAGAGTCTACCTGATGCAATTACTCTGCACACAGCTACAACACTCTTATCAGTACAGGCAGCAGAAACACATTCGCTGAGATTTTTCCTTGTTTCTATGACTCCCCACCACCACCACCACCAACTGCCTACATTGAACAAAGACAACAACCGTCTTTGACGTGCCGGCTCAGGAGGATGTTTTGGACGACCACCCTTTCAAATACCCCTTTCTCTCCCACAGGAGGTTCAAACACCAATTTCTGTGGGAGAAAAAGCAGTGAGTGGCCTTTCCTTAGTGTCAAAAAAACAATAGTCTGCCTGTCTATGGAGAGGTGTCCCTGTGGACAACACAGCTGGCAACACAAATGTCTCTGCACCTGTTTACCCACAACAGAACTGGCTGAGAACTGAAATGCAACTCACAATAACATTCTCCATATACTTTGTTAAATTACTTGAGAAATTAAGCATGTCAGCTTCTATTAAATCAGAGATAAATTGATGACGTCTCCAACACTGTCCTTACTGTAATTTGATTCCTCTGCCTGCCAGCTGATGGTTGAAAATGTGCAGCACAACCAAGGCTGCTCCCAGTAAAGAACAGTCTGGGATCATGGTATCAGATGTGTTAATGGCCACAGTGCCTGGCACTTCGCCCTTATTCATGAATATCTCAGTCCAATTGCTTTTCCACACACTGTGTTATTGCACAGCCACAGAAGGGAGAATGGGATTACATCAAAAATCATACAAGGCTTTGAATCCAACAGGCAGCTCTCTGCACTTTTGAGCTTGTTACTCTGCCTTCCTGCTCTGTGTGAAGCAACAAAGAGCCAAATAAAAGAAGAAAATCACAATTGAAGCCTGAAACACCTGCTTCCATTTTAGACTGAAAACCTCTGATTTTCTTTTAAACACCACATTTCATATACTGTGAGCTGAATGCATGACAGCAAGACAAACTAATCAGTGCACTGAGCTGCATCAAGTCATGGACAAGAGCCAACGATATCCCCAGGGGACAGTGAGCATTAGCAGAAAAATCCAAAAATAGTCCATCTGTATGTCTCCAGGGTCTCCTCCTCGTAGATGATGGATAGAGGTTGGAGAATGTAGGACTACAGAAGGAACTAAAGCTGCAATTAGTCTTGAGTCTTGAGGAGTCAGCATCATCAATGACTCAATAACATGGGTGGGTTATAATTTGCAGATAGAATTTAACGGAATAGTGCAGCTCAGGCACAGTCTGACAACTATAGGATGTAGTTTTGGATGTTGTAGAGTTAAGGATGAGTTCAGTGGCCTGTCAGCAAAGTCTGGTCTCACCTGTTTCTGACCTTGTAGTTGAAACTACTGTTTGTAAAATAATTGTAAAAACAACTTCAAATACTTCAAACCGAGATTTAGAGAGCATTTACCTTCCGACATCTGTCCTCTCTTGGAAGGCTGTCAGACAGCATTAGTTTAAGGTATTCTTCTTTGGAGAGTCTCTGCAGTGATTTTCCTTCACGCTCAGCAACCTGGGGCCGACAGGCGGCCTCCTGTGCATACAGCTGCCTGTGGACAACACAGAGGGCACAGAAGAGCGTAGTGCATCAGTGGAGTCACAACATTCAACCTGGTAACAGAGGCACTGTGCAATGCAGCCTGGACTGAAAGGTGACTTTAGCTATTTAGATACAGCGTCACTTAAGGACAAAGGTGTTCAGGGGAAGTGTGCCAACATTGTGTGCCTTTCACTTCAGCGTGAGTAAAGTGACCCCGAGGTAACAGGGTGGGAGAGGAGGCCAAGGAGAAAAACACATTTCGACAATTTCTTTCTGCCACGCACAGTGGAAGAGAGGAAGGAGAAAAATGCATGGAAGAGGACACATCCAGGAACATGACAGTGCAGTAAGGTTGACCTGGCTGCTCAAGTCGTGTGGCTGTAAAACCTGTGCTTTTAGTGAGCCGGCTGTGAGTGTGACACACTGAGTGCTGTTGACAGGGTGCTAGATGTCCACAGGGACACAGTGGATGGCGAGATGATGGGACAGTCTGGCTGTGATGGTAACCAAGAGACACCGCTGTTGAGAATTTCCCTGCTTTAAGCCTTTGGCACCATGGTAACCAAGCCATAAATACAAAGATAGGTTGGCCAGATGTATTTTGACTGATCCATGAGATCTTTGCTTTAATGACAATTGCTCTGTTCTCCCAGCTGAGTACAATTTACCCAACTCTATTTATTCAAAACTAAAACCCCTTCTGTTCTTGATTTAGCTCTTGTACAATTTGTTCTTACAAGATCAATCTGTCGTTAAGGGAAGATGGAGACATTGTTGAGGACATGACCTTTAAAATGTAATTTATTCCTTCTCCAGGATTTGTGCTGCAGCTAATAATGAGGGGTTTTTTTTTGCATAAAAAACAAACTAATTACTGGATATTAGCTTTCTAAATATGAGTTTATTCTGGTTAATTTATTCCTCTATTATAACAAAGGGGATATTCTGGTTTGTGGATATTAAAAGATATCTTAATTCTGTGGTTTTGAAAATGCATTTATCTGACTTTTGGCTTTGAAGGACTTCACGGACTGATCAAGGAAATGGAAATGTTATATAATGTATATTTTAATAATAAACATATGGAACTGGTTGAAGCTATATAATGCATATACAGTAATGGGTCATTGGTGGTTTTCGAACAATAATGTTTAATGGAGTCATGGAGAGAGGATCCTACCCACATGAGTAGAGAATATTTTTGACCTGTGATTTCAGCTGTGGTTGATGACTAAAGCCTGACAGAGAGGTGGTAATGTTGTGGTACGGTCCAGAATCCAAATAAACAAGGGTACGTAGTATAATGAACTGTATGATCAGTAGCTTATGGAAGACAAAGGTACAATACTGTATAAAGCAGTAGGGACTTATGGGAAATGCAGCAGAAATGTCACAGCCACTGATCCACAGCTGGTTACCTTCCACTCTCAGCATGTGCCAAATGACAGGGTCGGCATATTAGAGAAGAATGGGGTGGTGGTCTGGGATATGGGAGGAGTGTGAAGGGTAGGCAGGGTCAAATTGGGGCCACTGGGGTGACTGAGACTGACTCTGTACCTTGAATGCTCAGATAGCATTTTGAGGAGGAAGGCTAACAAACTCTCTGCTCCTCTGGGACAGGTAAAGAACAAAATGGAGAGAAAGAAACAGAAGCATTTTTTAACACATCGTGTGTAACAACCAGCATTAGAGTTGAGGAAAACTATTTCAAAGGGGGTAAAGAAGCTTCATTATGTTAGAACAATATCTGTGAGAATCATCGGAACATTCATCATGAGGCAGTGTTATGTAAGATGAAATAAAACAGTAGGAATATATAAACAAACAATGGGGAAGATAACTGAATTACAGAGCTTTTTCATAAGTTGGCAGAAGACGACTTCAGCGTGAGCAATCAATCACACAGCACTTAAGTGGCAAATTTCAAGGCCCCAATAAGATTACACTGGAGGAGGAAACAAGGTTCCTTCCGGGGCAAAACGATTTTTCATTCCTACCAAATGCCAGGAGCACCCTAATACTGTACAACAACACTCACACACAAACACAAATCAAAGCATGGTATAATAAAGTGTATACTGTAATCAGAAAACACATTCAGTTGGTCTTCACTAGTAAATTTCACAGCCCTTTCCTGTATTTCTGCAGTAGTCTTTGGCTGCTCTCTTTGGGCTGAATGTGGTTCTGGTGTTGCTCTGCTCCACAGCAGCAGAGATGCTGATCTGTTAGAGCATCAACATGGCAGTCCCTGGGGACGCAGCTTCATGGGAACAATCAATAACCACAAGTGACATGTGCCAAGTGTATTATGTCAGCAGCTTCATTGAGCTTATTTATTTTGTGGCTGTCGCCTTCAATCAAGGTTGCTTTACGCAGACAGTAGAAGGGTGGAGTGGGGGGTGTGGGGGGGTAACCTGCACTGGAGTCGGTGTGATGCATGCAGTTGTGAGTCTGGAGGAAATGACTCAACAGAAGAAGAGAATGTGCTGGTGACCTTGTTGTGTGATTAAAAGTACGTCATCCAGCTTTTCATGATGACGCTAAACTGGAACTGAAACCAAACCAGATCCAGCTCTGTTTTTGTGGGGTTGAAGCCAGCCAAACTAAAAGCTCACCAAAACAAGTTAATGCCTGACCTCTAACCTTAACTCAGCCTCAAGTGACCTACTGTTATCAACCGCCTATCCTGCTTTAGTTTCAGCTGATAAGTTTTCTTAGCCAATGTTTCACTTACTCTGTTGTTAATTGTACTCCGCTGAGAAATCATATCTAATTTTGGGAAAAGGGAAATGACAGTTTCAGACAGAAGAAGACAGAAGAGTCTACTGTCTGCATTTAAGGCTGATTTCACAATGTCAAACTGACTCATCCCTCAAAAGAAGGATTAATAGAATTAAAATCCAAGCTATAAGCCTGCAGCTCACTGAGCACAGACACACCCGGAGCAATGGTTTTTACTATGGGGCTTGGATGGTTGTCATCTCTGTTACTATCATTAAAAAAACGAAGGAAATTGTGCTTCCTCCACACCATTCCATTCCATTCAGCCATATTAGGTTAGCCCGCATTTGCTAGGTCATTTTAACGTTTTAGCAATTTTTTAAAACCTTGTAGTGCTCACATCATGAGGATATCTTTTGTTAAGATTTAAAAACAATAATACAACATGTGACAGCTAAGACAAACAGACAGCAGAGACATGCTAACAACAGCCTCAAAACTTGTCTTGGGAGAATGCTAACAAGAAAACCACTTACCTTTGAGCAAACACAGTTGTACTAAAGTGAAGGGTTAAATCAGAACCAGGATATACAGTACACACAGCTCTCTCCATAGACCTCAAACTTTACCGTTTGCATGTATTTCCCATCCTGTTAGTTTGTAGGTGAATTGTTCAAAACATTTTTGCTCACACACAGTCACACTCACCCACACCCTGAAATGTCAGGAGGGCCCTCAATGCCCTGGGCTTCCTCATGTTCATCATCATCGTCAGAGGGCTTCACGTTCACGGACAGTTCAGGTTCAGGCTTTGTCTGTCCACAGGCCTCTGAGATGGACCCCTGTCGTGAGTCTGACCCTGAACTGCTGTTCTGAGGAATGGTGTACACCTTGGAGGAGTCAGCTGATATGTGGTATCTGGCCCCACGTGCGAGCGGACTGCCAGAGTGATGTGAGCCACTGATCAAACAGTAAAAGAAAAAAAGAAAAAAAAAAGAAAAAAAAAAGAAAAAAAAAGAAAATGTAACTCAAAGGTATGAATGAATGGAAAAAATGATGCAAGAATAAACTGAGAAAGCACAAACAATGAATATAAATGAAAGATGAAAAATGCTAAAGGAAAAATAAGAGCTCCCATGTTGATGAATGTTTTTAATTAAAAATGATTTTCTAACGGGGTTGACTGCGGCACAGTCACATTCCCTCCATTTACCAGCACATTCCACTTAGTGCACTTTCAACCTACATTGGAATATGAATCACTATCATGTGACTGCTCTTCCTGAACATTGACCTTTCCTTTTTTTAGTCAAATATCAACTGACAAAGTGGATTTAAGGGTCAGGGCATTTTAAAGTACTAAAGTATTCAATTCATTTCAATGCTTCTATTAACAGGTGACATTTCCCATCTAGTTACTGTTAATAATCACCAACAACAACTTCAGCAAATATGCTGGCCAAAAAAATAATAATGACACAGTTGAACCAAACAACCTCTTAATGGTTCGCTACTTTTTATATGACTTCCTGGTGAAGGTTTGAACAAGTATCTTGGAATAAACAGCTTTGACTCCTTCCACACAGCTCAATGATCAGAAACAAATTCTAAAAACAAAAGAGCGTGCCGCACAAACACATTGATACCAATTTTTATTCATTTATAGTATACGGGCTGTGAGTGGCATCAGGGCCAATGCTTTCTGACACGGTTTCTTCATGCCTGATGGGCCACAGTCTGGTGACTAGGACTTGATGAACCCCTGTGATGCTGCAGCCTGGCAGCAGTTTTACCCCACCAGCGTCAGTGCAGCTGCATGAGTCACACTGTCAGACTGAAGTGAGGGCGCAAGGGCGAACTGAAAAGGTGAGCTAACAACCAAAAACTACTCTTTTTCTTTGCCATTTTTCTCTATAGAAGTTTAACAGATGTATGTGGTGCAGTTGCATGTAGGCAAATGGTGTTGTCTCTGATTTACAATCAAGTCACAGTTGCCATAGAAATGCTAAATAATCAGATATGCTATAACCTAATCCTTTACATGGTGCAGAGGGGGTTGGTGCCAATCCCAGCCGTCATCAGTTGAGGCCGAGACACACCCTGACATCACAGGGCATGGATGTATACTACCCTATGACGTGTGTTGGTTCAGGTTTGAACCAAAAACTTAAAGAATTACTTGCAAAAACATTTTGACGAAAGGAAGCGACACAACTGGACAAAGAAATAAATACAGCAGTTTTTACTCAGTACCTTGAATGGGATGAAATCTCGCTCAGGTCTCCGATGCTGCCCTCTGTCCCACGACTGGATAAAATGGCAGAAGCGTATCCCTGTGGTAAGTACAGCTTCCCATGATCCTCTTCTGATGCCCTGTCCTCATGCTGCTCTGACACCCAAGGGTTTCCCTGTTCTCCCATCCTGCCCTGCAACAGCACTCTTGCCCCGGGGGCCATGCAGGGATTAGTGTCAATGCCACTGTCTGTAGATGCCCCTTTGATATACGTTAGGCCCAGCATCTCTGGGTCCATCAGGTCTCCAGAACCAAAGTGTTTGTCATCGCTGTTACTGGAGGCATTGCTGGACAAGGTGTTGCTACTTGAATGGCTTGAGTTTTTGTCTCCAGTCTGCAACATAAACAGAGATGTAGAGTGAATTAGAGGACCACACAGCAGCTGAAGATCTGAAGATAATCATTACAGCCTGTTTACCCAAGTGTTACAAAACTGGGAGTGGGAGTTCAGTGGATTAACAACTTATAAAACATTTTTGGCCCACAGCTACACTGAATTGTATCTTTCTTCTGTGACTCGTTCAATTTGACAGTGAATAAAAGATTATACACTTGAGTTTCAGAACTTTTAAAACCAAGACAACAATGATTATCTTGTCTAAACATAATAGAAACAAAACGACCAGACAGTAGCTCTTGTTCGGTAATTCACCAGCCCTGATGCCTAAATTGAAGCTTGGCTCTCTGGCCACTCGACAACAGTACCGTCAAGCTGCCTTTTGTGCTTCCACTCATTTTAGTTTGAAAAGAGCTGCATCTCAATAATGAACACTTCATATCTCCTTTGCACTCACATTTAACCTGAAAAATGTTCTTAAAACATTCTGGAACTAATGAAAAGAAAGAGGACACATTTGATCATCACAGCATGATCAAGAGCAGCGCTGTAATAAAAGTGAGTAATAAAAAAAACCCATTAACACAAGCTGTGTTAAAGATGCTACATTCAACATTAATTTTATGTCGCTTAAGATTCTAAAAGAAAAGCAATGCAAGTGCATTGTTGACCTTCTTTTCATCCAAACAGCCTCACAAAAAACTTGGGGTGGAGTGGCTTAAAAGTGTTGTTTAATTATAGAAACTCTGACCTCAAGTCTTTGACCTGTCATGTTTGTTTTATGTTCATTGTGCTATGCTTAACACGGCTAAATTATGCAGTCGACGTGAATCATGTCACATCAAAAAACAACATCTCTAATTTTGAAAAAAAGAAAAAAACAAACTCAGTACATTATGAGAGCAGTTTGAATTTTTAACCTCTGCCCTTAATTTAATGCAATTCTCGCTGAGAGCACTATAAAAAAAACTACTTAGGTTTATGTGCTGCCAAACAGAGACACGACATGGCCTGAAAACAATGAAGGAGATCGAGGGAGAGACGGAGAACGGGGGAAGATTAGTGATTGAAACAATATATTTATCCTTCTAGGTAAATGTGTCCCAGAAAAGTGTGACACGAGTACAAACGGTGCTCAGACGACACACCTGTTATCCAGCTGATAAGAGGGGATGGATAAGTGTAATGAGCTGTAAGAGGGGAGGATAGGAGGCGGAAGACTCCAACTGAAATGCTGACTGATGTAAATTTCATAAACAATGACAGCTGCACTGATTTAAACAACACTGTGGGGTGAGGCAGATTTGAAAGTCCAGCGCTAAGCAACCCCCCCCCCCTTCAGAAACAACACAAACGTAGAGCCCGGAGAGGCTGCATTAAACTTTCAACGTCATGCCCTTCATAGCGAGGGGTGGGGGTGAAGAGTTTAGTTAGAAGCGGGAGACACCCCCCCCCCCCCCCCCCCTTCAGAAACAACACAAACGTAGAGCCCGGAGAGGCTGCATTAAACTTTCAACGTCATGCCCTTCATAGTGGGCTGACAACAAATTTGGACACACTTCCATTAACATGCCATGTGGGCATCTTCTGTCAAGCTGTGGTGAAAGTAGGTCACATATTTACCCTGGACAGCTTGTTGGGTGAGTCCTTTCCTCCTTCTCTTTGCTTCAGAGGATTGAGGATCTTGGTGGACGGGATGTGCCATTTGGCCTCTGTGCAAATAATAAAAAGTAACCGGGTTAGTAAAAGGAAAGTAACAGGTATGAACAGAACCACACACACACCACATGAAACAAGTGCAAATGATTCCAGATAGTATGCAATAGTGATCCACCTCTGGAACTGAGGTACGCCAGACTCTAGACCAGGGGTCTGCAGCCTGTGGCTTCTTGGTCAAATGTAGCTCTTTAGTAGGGAAAAAAGCTAAAATGGCTGAATCACCAAATCTAACGGTTGTATAAATAGATAGGACCCCAAATCACAACACAAAAACTAAGCTTTAAACAATTTTATATTTGTTCAGCTTGAAATTGCCCTCCTGAATAATGTATAGTTTTTACTTCAGCTCACTGTAGGTGATGAAGTCAGCGAGGTGTAAAAAATTAACTCTTTAGTGTTGGAATTGATCGTTGCCTGCAGGTTGAAATATACACTGTAGTACTTCTGTAGTACAACAGGTTAAACAATGCACCACAACTGCCACGGTTTGAATGATTGGAATATGTGTTTTGTGAATTTTATTTGGTAGTTCAAAGATAATGGCTCCTTTCCTGTTGAAGGTTACAGACCCCTGCCCTAGACTATGTTTCTGTGAGCACCAAGTGGTTCACAAGTACAACAGCAGATGTGGCCCGATATCCTGAAATAAGTGTCAGCTCTTTCTGGCACATACTCGGTGCCACTGGCAGTGTGTGACCTGGATGTCACCAGAAAACACCAACGTTGTTTGGATCGGTTCTGTTTTTAAGAAAACTTTTTGCTGACATAAACCAATGCTGTGGCCAGCTTTTGACCCAGATTTGGCAAACAGGTGTGGATGTACGAACAAAGTCACCTCACTCCATGCCATCTATGTACCAAATAAAAGTGTCATATGTGATAATTATAGATCTAAAATGTAAAAAACCCTATTAGGAATCAGAATTACCTGCAGATCTGGTCCTCTCCAGTGTGGGCTCCCTGTGGATCTCTACATCTGTACTCTGCATATCTCCTGCACGCTCGTGAAGAATAGGCGAGGGACACCTGCAGGAAGACAAAAAGAATATGGTCTCACATTGTTTTGCACATAGAAAGAGGTCTGTAGTCTACTTAAAGGCTTAAACAAAGTCATAAAGCAATTAACCAAAGATTATATGAGCAAATTTCTAAAATGTATATAAAAATTATAGAAGAACTAAAGTCTTAAGAGCTTGTTTTTTTATGTGTTAATGCACAGAGACCATGACTTGTCATCTCTTTCAACAAGTGCTCTTAGAGGAAATTAATGGGCCAGTGTGTGTGTGTGTGTGTGTGTTGTTCTGCATCATTGCAGCTCTGACGGGCCACAGTGATTCCTATGAGTTCAGTGCAAATTTGAGGCCTTTTGACAGGAGATCAGCCGTGTGGAGCTAAGCCTCCTGTCATGGTGCCTAACCACTCACCAACAGACACTGGTCTCTGATGGATTCTTCTCATGTTCAAGATTCAAACCTGTCAGATGTTGCAGCTTGTGCAGTAACAACTGTCAAATACAGTAACGGTCTTGTGTGTTTAACTGGCATCAAAAATAATCATCCTTATTATCACATCATATAATGAGGTTTTAGTTTCATCTCTTAAAAAAAAGATAAAAAGATTTTAAATTCAAATCATAGAAAAATGCATATCATATATTAAATATAACATAATGGCTGTAGGCCTTAATATAGATGTGTACAGGAGACAACAAAAGATTTTAAATTCAAATCATAGAAATCATATATTAAATATAACATAATGACTGTAGGCCTTAATATAGATGTGTACAAAAAGGTTTATATTATAAAACACAAGACTAATTTTTTAGTATTTTCTTCTCTTTTGACATTTTAAATAAACACACCGGATGATTAAACAATGACAGCTTACATCAGCGTTGCACTAGTGAGTCTTCCCGCAGAACTGAGTAACAACTGACACAAAGTGCTTTGACGATTCGCTCATTCTATGCAGGAAAATTGCTGCCAATTTACAAAAGTGCTAAAAGATCTCTAAAACAGTGTGGGTAATGGCTGTGGATGCACTCATCGCTGGAAAACCACATCACCTGGAATGGACTATTTCCAAGGTGTTTTTAAAGTAACGTAGTCATAGTTACATACCCATCATATCCAGGCTGCTGGGACCAGGTGCTGCTGCTGCCACAGGGTCCTGGATCACTGGAGGAGGACTGGTTACTGGGGGAGCTGCGATAGTGAGGGTCTCCCTTGTTACATAAGGCCACCTGAGGATTCTCAATATCCTGCAGGATCCTGCACAAAAGGAAAGACAAACGCTTAAAATACGGTTAAACACTTTTCAACAGCTCAACGATTTTAAGCAATGACCCTTTATTTTTCATATGAGAGAATTGGCTGAGCAGTTCACCTACCCAGGTTACAGACTTTGACTTGCTGCTTGGTCATTGATCTAAAGGTTGTGGTGTACGTAACGTAATAGGTTTGGCATCCTTACATATATGCCAAAATACTGTTTCCTTATAAGGTGTTATCCAGAAATCTGGGCCATGTCCTTATTTTCTTATCATTTTTAGTAACATTTCTTCCATCTTTATAAAAAGCTTTTCTTTGATGATTGACAGTTCACTTAGTTATTTTCAGACCAGTCCTTGCAGCCGCCCTTTACCCCTGCACATTAGGAGATTATATTTTCTTTTCCCTAGCTGCTTTTCACACATTTTTGTATTAAAGGTGTGAACAAGACATTAGCCCATAAGCTACAGTGTGTTGAAATTAACAACAAATATCTAATCCCCATGGATTGCTACTTTGATGTTGAGGAAACAGTCTTGATTTTAAACCCAGCTTTTCCCAAGGTGGAAGTTTTGAAACAATACTTTGGAATAAATCCTTTTCTAACACCCAATGACTGAACGTACAGATAATCATTAAAATGTAAATCCAGTTTTTCTAGCCTCATCACTCTCCTGTCTTTGATCAGTTCTCAGTCTGCGTGTGAATGTACAATGGACTGGAGGTGGACGCTGTGGCCGAAGGAGGTTGAATATTCAAACCGTATTCACTGAGTCTTTTTATGCTGTTAAAATAACCAGGGGCTGTATGTTCGTATGCAACAGTTTTGCATACAGTTCTAATCATTTTGTGGATATGAATCCAGATAACGTGAAAATGCACCAAGCAGTGCTTCATTCCTCAAGGGATTAAACTCTAGGCTTGGATAATTTTAGACTTCAGTTTGATCCTTTTGGAAAGTTATAAATAATACACATTTAGGTCACGGGGCAACACTAAACCTGTTTAAGGGCCACATTCAGTCCTCAGGCTAGACATTGGACTTGGTCGCTTTAGGATCTTTGGGGCTTATCCTTCCTGCATGAAGGGTCTCAGAATAGGCATAACCTTCAGGCTATTGTTTATCAGACTCTCTTAAAGCACCATCTGATAAACCTCAACCAACATACAATACAATAAATGCTTTAACCCTTGCCGTTGTGGCTGCTGGTGGTATACATTAGGGAATTGAAAATAGGGTTTCTACTTTCTGCTGCGTCCAGGTTTTTCCCTAGGCATGGACAAAACTGGGTGAAATTTGACTTTCTTGGTTTGTCACGCACACTAATTTTATCAAGGAAAAAGACTTTGATTTAAATATGATCCAGGCTCTCTGTTACAAATCATCCACAGCGGTCTTTTCCCAACTTGCTATTTTGCTATCGTAAAGTTTGAAAAAGGAACTGACAAATGCTTTGTGTTAGTCATTTTCTGCTTTGTCATCAACTTTTCTTTGTTGAGACCTCCCTGAGAATCTGTCAGTAATTGAAACTCACCAGACAAACACTCAGATCCAATACTTTGGCCAGGAACCTACATTTCCTCTTTGGCTAAAATGATGGTCTTCTCAATCTGGTCCAAGCAGTGTAATGTAAAACAGCAGCTGCTGCTTTTTACTCTCCTTCTCTCTCGCCTACTTAAGACATAATTCTCTTTATATTGCAATTACACTGAAGGCTAAAGGGATGAACGTATGATCTACACAGTCTTCAGAGTCAAGGTTATATTTTACTAAACAATAACTGCATTTGGCCAGAAGTAAGCAGAAAAGTGATTTTCGACTCTGAGTGCCAAACATTTTGGTCGGACCTACACAACAGTCCTGTCAGGGGAACTGAGCATTAACATTCCATGAGTCTACATTTTCTTTTCCCACAATTTCCAACAGTGAGTACATCTAAATTTACTGCATTGTTGATGCATTTTTTAACTCACAGATGTACATCCTTCTGTCTTACGTGAACCCCCCGACGCTCCCCGACCCCCATCCCCAGTTTGAGGATGACTTGCTAGTTGTTAGCTATGTGGCTAGTCCAGGCAACAACACCATATGATTCATTTACTCCTAGTTGTACTGTGACCCTTATACACATTCTGTGATGTCTCTGCCTGTTAAGCCTTGACATAACTCAACTAATGGATTCTTGAAACGAGTTGTAACTTTATATTAGCCAAACTGCTCTACGTTCTTATGAAATAACTCAAGAAGAAATATGTACTGTTTGGAATTCACTATAGTATCAATTACTTTTCCTACTAGTTATGCGCACAAGTTGAAAAAACAATCAACTGATACATCTGTAAACTATTGGCCATATTTTATTATACATTAAGCTTTACAGTAATAATTTGTTCTTTTAAAGTCCATGACTGTAAAATAACACTCTTCTCCTTCCTGGTCTCTTCAGTCAATGACTCCTCCAGCTCCTCCACTCCCACTCCCTCTGGGGTGCTACATATCGTGGTCCAGGGAAAGCACTCTCTTTGTTTCTGCAGTAATTGGATGAGATGAGCTGAGTCGTGTCAGTGTCCCCATCACCTCCAACTCAGCGGGGCGTAGGAAGAGGGAGGGAGTGTGCAGTAGGAGGAATATGGACAGAGAGAGGGACTAAAAAATAGGGAAGGAGAATGGAGTGCTCCTACTGCCAGGAACTCTGATTAGGCAGAGAAGGCAGCCATTATCCCAGTACNNGTGGATTGTCACACTGGAAAGGTTATTATGGCTGTGGGGGTTTTAGTACAAGGAACAAATCACTGCTTTACATGGCTCAATGGAGATGTCCCAAAAATCAGAGGACAGAACAAATTCTGATTGCGTGCTATCTTCGTAAAGTAGATAAAAGCACAGCCAGTCTAGTCCAAAACATTTGCATGCAACACAGTGTGGATAAAATCACAGCCCCTCAGAATGCTTCAACAAAGAGGTGCCATCAATCAGAGAGAGAAATATTCATTTGTCATGTTACAATGGGGAGCAGGACCCTGTTTAATTTAAACCCTGCCTGAGGACTGGCCATGGAGGACAGAGAAATAATTAAATATAAAGCTGGTTATTGCTAAATCCAAGGTCAGAAAGGTCTGATTTAAACGCACAGATGGGCATGCCATCCACACATTTAAAGAAGAAAATAAGGTTTAAACTTAAAACCCTGCAAGAACACATTCACATGTCAGGTGCATCTGGATCATAATTATTTATTTATTAAACTGGGCTCTACTTTTGTATTAGAGATATATGTAGTCTAAAAGTCTAATCAAACAAAATACCTGGGGCGTTATTGTGACTTCCAAAGATCTTACAATCACAATCTCAGGTGTTAACATTATATATCTAATTGACTGTGTGCTAACGTTAAAAATGTCTTATTTATACATTTATGTTCTAAATGTCTCTTGTTGCTGTTCACTGAACACAGCATCATAAAATTATTTACATCTCTAATGCATTATTGTTAGATTTATTTTGTTGGATTTGATGATTGTCACTGTAACAAAATAAAAATATATCGTCTGTATTCAAACATACAAATTAGCAGCTGTGTAGCAGGAAAAAAAACGTCTCACCTGGACCCATCCGGAAGCTTCCTGTCAAAGGAGGTGCTTCGAGGAATCACCGCCTGGTGCTGTTGGAGGATCTGCTGGCACTGCAGGCGATCTGGTGCCTGTGTCGGTGAATTTCTGGATAAAGGTGGACCAGAACTTGTGGGCATCCGATGCCACGTGGTGTTCCTTCTGAAGGGCGTCTTGTACTCACAGGGTGTTCCTTCACTGTCGACCTTGTACTCTACCATAGGTATGCGGTACAGCTCGGAGCATCCCCTGAGGAAGAAGGAGGGGGAAAAGAAATGGTTAAAATTCAGCATTGGGGTTACGCTGTAATAAAGCAGACAAACCACGAGTCCAGACTTTTATAATGTTACTTTACATGGATCATCTATAAACAGAAGCCAAAAAGAAGGTCTCCCTGAAGGTTGAGCTTCTCTGTAACTATAGAGATTAGCTCCAGTTGGAGCCAGGCTTCTTCGCATCAGAAACCAAAAGGAGACAATAGGGTAACAACAGCACAAGCAGGACCTGCCAATTGTGTTCAGTGAGCATGATTTAAATCAGATTGACAAAATCATCCAGTTTTCTCTAAGGTCAATTCACATTTTAGCAGAAAGAAAATCTCCAAGTAAGAGGCCTCAAACCCCTGGCCCCAGGGCGTCTTGTTGATAACAAACTCCACTCATTGGTCTGCTACTAGACTTTAATAATAAGTTAATTTTGCCCTTTCGGCAATTATTACTTTTATTTATTCTAAATCTAATAATCTAGCAATTATTACTTTTATTTATTCTAAATAGATCATTTTTTGTGTGTCTTTGTAAATATGTATCTAATAAAATACCAGAATATCAGCTGATAAACCATCACTGAAACCCTTCAATAACGAGACATACAATTACAATCATCATTAATGTAATGACTCAAAAATAAAAGAACTCTAGCGGCTCATTGCAAATAGATGTAATCATCACATTCATCCACATTAACAATGATTGCATGTAATGTAAAATAATTTTGTTTTTAACGTTCCATTTTGGCAATTGTTGTGATGGTTTCAGGCTATTAAACTCACAATACATTTTAAAAATGTATCTCTGTTTGTCTGTTATGCCGTACAAACAAACAAAAATAACCAACCCATATATTTGAAATTCCATAGGCCATTCTATTGACATGGAGAGACCAAAACAGATTTCAGATTTTTTGTGTGTATACTTTACTAGAAGAACCACACATTTACTGGGAGACATTACAAACATCATCTACATGTCATTCACAATGGACAAGACCAACCATTGAATGACCTTCCATTATAACAGATATCTACAGACGTCAGAAGAGGGTTTTTTTATCTGTCCATATCCATCCTATTACAGCTAACAGCCCTGGAAGTACACAGGGATGGACAGAGTATGTGATGCTATTTCATGCAACATTAATCGGGGGGTGTACGTTTTGGGAAGCTTTTTTTAGCAGCATAGTGAGGGCTAAACAGCTAAAGCATTTCAAGCATGACCCTAATGATAACACTGTCCTCCACCTCCAAAGGCGATTATCTGGGATGCTATGGTTGGGCAGGGGGCTGCTAACGCTTTGCTGTGGTCCTACATGTACACATTGAGGGGTTGGAGGAACTGGGTGATTGCAAATGCTGTGGTGGAGGGGGTGAGTAATCCCTCTGAGGGAGACCCTTTCATCAAACTGGGCCATGGGTGGATCGTCTGTTTACAGTTGTCATCCCATTGGAGGAGCGGGTGCTGAGGGATCTAACAAGATGATCATCCCTCACTTTTCACATCGCCCACATCTGGTCAATGTCATCGCAAAAGCGGCCCCATCCATGATGAAGAGCTTTGATGGCATGTCTGCGTCGGCAACATCTCACAGTTTACATTATTTAGGTACTGGAAAAAAGGCATGCATGACTGGTCTGACATATGGGACAGTGAGCGTAATAAGGTGCATTACAGGCACTTTCCTAAATGGAAGAGGAACTTCCTTGTTGGGTGAGGCCACTGCAAATGTGTGAGAAACAGAGATAAGTAATTCAACAGATCCAGTTATTGCCTGGTTTCTTTAACCGTCTTTGCTGCTGCCTTTTGATAAATGTCTGGTTATGTCAGCAGAAAAGGTCCAAACCAGATTCAGAGCCTGGTCTACTGCTCAATTAGGTTTTCAAACACAACTACTAACCCACTCATTACCTAGATTAACAGTGGATGTTTGTGGTCATGCCAGGTTGTCACACTCCATTACTGTCTAAACAGGCTAAGCCCAGCTACAACTTGTGACCAGTAAAGGTCTCAGCCATTGTCTCATGCTGCGCTTCACACAAAGGTTGGGCTACACAATGACAGAGTAAATTTCTCACATGATCCTAATGATTTGTGTCTCACAAGCTACGCCAGAGGTGAAAAGACCCCTCCCTGATGTATGTGGAATGTGTCCCATGTTTGTAATGTAAAACACTGTGTGTAAATCATAGAAAAACAACAGGAAACCAGAGTTTGGTCAACAGTTAAACCTGAGATGAAGGCTGGGGGTGGACGAGACGTTATTAGGACATAGTCAGACATGGGGAAAAAGAGGAAGCAGGCATCTGGTGAGAAATAATACAGTCTGCTTCCTCCTGATTCTAAGCATCAAGACGTGCTACTGTAGTGGAAGAGCTTTATGTAAGTGTGTGTATGTATATTTTCACCCACTTAAATACACAGGGTTTACTGAAGTCTGAGGAAACACATTGTTAGACATCAACATTGTGTTCTAAATCAACACCAACTCCCAGTTCTCACTGCCACCAGACATGTGCTTGGTATGAGCCATATGTTGTTGTTGTTGTCTGGGAGTGTATGGAGGGGACATTTTGAATGAGTGTGTGTCTGGTTGTTAAAGAATGTCTCTGGTCAGGATTTATTCCGTATACATTCACACTGGACTGGAGAATCCTAATAGCTTACGACTAACTTGAGCTTAATTCTCTCCATGTAAGGGGAATTTATATTATTATTACTTTAAAAATGGCAAAATGTCCACGTTTTTAATCCTAAAAAGTAGAGAAGTTACTAGCTATGTTACATTACTTTGGATCTGTTTCAGTTCTAACCCTCAAACATTTCCAACTGTGAAACTAGGGCAAACATTTAATTTCTAATCAAACTGAAATCAAAACCTGGTGCAATTATTGAAGCTTTGTATCAGGTTTACATGCAGCTCCAGCTCCATT